CTTCTTAAGTCTAATAATCACTCTCTTTGTCAAAGTTTTACTAAAGCCCTCTTCAGTTTCTTCTGGAAGAAGTGAAGACGTGGAACGCTCCCTCATCTGCCACCAAAAACAATCTCTCCGTGGTGGTTGGGGAATCCTTAAAATCCCTGGCACATTATTTCCATAGGTTTTGCCAAACCGCACCTTTCAGGTTTGATTGAATTCATTGCCCATGGGCATCAGCTCATTCGCTGGAAAGGCTACCAGTGCTCACATCATTTATATTCTTCTTTTTCTCCAAAGCTCCTATATTTAATTCTCAGGTGTTAAATATACTTATGATGCAATATAATGGACTTAGCATGGCTTGTATAGTAGAAAGAATTGTTTAAACTAAGGTAACATAAACTAGGCAAATAAAATAAACCATCAATCTCATTTTTTTTTTATTTTATTATCTTTTTCTTTTAGCCACTAGACCACCAGGGATAATCTTGTTTTAAAATGAACATTTTCCTGCTCACAAACCTTCAGACTCTAGTTTCTTTTTTTTTTTTTTTTTATCAGCTCTATCGTCAGTCCTGACCTATGTCTGTCTTTTCTTTTCTTTTTTTTTTTTGAGACAGAGTCTCACTTTGTTGCCCAGGCTAGAGTGAGTGACGTGGCGTCAGCCTGGCTCACAGCAACCTCGAACTCCTGGGCTCAAACAATCCTCCTGCCTCAGCCTCCCGAGTAGCTGGGACTACAGGCATGTGCCACCATGCCCGGCTAATTTTTTATATATATATTTTTTTAGTTGGTCAATTAATTTATTTCTATTTTTGGTAGAGACGGGGTCTCACTCAGGCTGGTTTCGAACTCCTGACCTCGAGCAATCCGCCCGCTCGCGGCCTCCCAGAGAGCTAGGATTACAGGCGTGAGCCACCACGCCTGGCCTAACATTAAACTATAAAAGGAAAGTAGGATGTTATAATCCTCTAAAATGATACATGGAAAAGAGTCATCGTCGAAGCTCATCTGGTTCCATTTTCTCTTTTTACAGATAAGAGACCAGGGAGTCAGTTAAGTAAGAACAGAAGCTCAAACAAATTTCCTCGTTACTTATTCATGACCATTCAGGTCCAGTTCTCTTCCCTTACTCATCCCATTGATAAGTCAAAATGACTATCTGTATTCCCAAAATAGAAACTCCCTGATTTGTTCCCAAATGCCTTCTTCCTTCTCTTTATATCTGAGTCAGGAAAGCAGCCCCAGTCCCTCCATGATCAATATTGACTACCTATCTCCAGGGAGTGAATCACCCATTCCTCCTTTCCAAGTTCATGTGCCATAGTGAAATGTATGATGAAGTATGCAAGGACCATCCAGGAAAAGCTGGGTTCATCTAATTAAAGTGGAGTGTTCAGTCATACACAGCCATGGGACACCTACAACAAACTACAACAAAAAGCCTGCCTGTTAACACCGATCCCTCTGGGTTAGCGAAATGTCAAGCACTTAAGGAGAAATTCTTTGGATGAGAATCCATCCTCATACCACATCACTACCCTGCATATGTATCCATCCTGCTCTTTTAGGGGACAGGAAATAAGGAACTGCTCCCAGTGAGCTGGTATGGATGAACCTTGAGGATAACTGTCTTTAAGACTCTCGGAGCACACAACATAAGTGAGCCCGGTTGGGGTGGGGAACCTATGGGCTTCTGAGTCCTTGAGTGTGGCCTTTTGACTGAATCCAGATTTTACAGAACAAATCCTTTTAAGAGAGGAATTTGTTCTGTGAAGTTTGGATTCGAGGGCCGCTGTACCCCAGGCTAGAGTGCTGTGGCATCAGCCTAGCTCACAGCAACCTCAAACCCCTAGGCTCAAGCAATCCTCCTGCCTCAGCCTCCAGAGCAGCTGGGACTACAGGAGTGTGCCAGCACACCCAGCTAATTTTTTCAACATTTTTTAGTTGCCCAGCTAATTTTTTTTTTTTTTTAGTAGAGATGGGGGTCTTACTCTTGCTCAAGCTGGTCTCAAACTCCTGACCTTGAGCAATCAGCCCGCCTCGGCCTCCCAAAGTGCTAGGATTACAGGCGTGAGCCACCACGCCCAGCCTCAGACTCTGGTTTCTATAAGACTGGTGGCGGCCCCCTCCCTTCCCTATATTGAAAAAGAAAAGGCTTACAAGACCAGAACCGCCAAGGACAAAACTGCCAGGCCCCACTGAGAGGAACCACACCCAGATGTCCACCCCCTATGAGAACGGTTTGGCTACTGGATTCTACAAATACCTCCAGCCCCTCATATTTCTCAATGACCACCCAAGGTCACAATGGAAAATCCCCAGCTCTTCCCGCCAAAAGTCCCTAGCCAGGCCCAAAGGGTATAAAAGGCCTCAGCCCCTTCAAACAGCGCGACTTCTGCTTCCCCCCTCTCTTGGGGCCTCAGAACCTCGTCCTGGAGTGTATAATAAAGCCATGTGGTTTGGCCCCCACTCTTTCTCTCTCTCTGTCTGTCTTTTCTTTTCTTTTTTTTTTTTTTACCAGCTCTATCGTCAGTCCTGACCTATGTCTGTCTTTTCTTTTCTTTTTTTTTTTTGAGACAGAGTCTCACTTTGTTGCCCAGGCAAGAGTAAGTGCCATGGTGTCAGCCTGGCTCACAGCAACCTCGAACTCCTGGGCTCAAACAATCCTCCTGCCTCAGCCTCCCGAGTAGCTGGGACTACAAGCATGCGCCACTATGCCCAGCTAATTTTTTCTATATATATTAGTTGGCCAATTAATTTCTTTCTATTTATAGTAGAGATGGGGGTCTTGCTCTTGCTGGTTTTGAACTCCTGACCTTGAGCAATCTGCCTGCCTCGGCCTCCCAGAGAGCTAGGATTACAGGCGTGAGCCACCACACCCGGCCTGTCTGTCTTTTCTTTTCCCCTCTGATGAAAAACCTTACAGTTTCACCTACTCAAAATGTTCATATTTTTTAGTTTGGCTGTCAAGGCATATTACAGTTGGACCCCATAAAACCCTCTCAGCCATTTTTTCTATACTCCCTATGATCCCACCAAAGTGTTCTTTTTCCTTTCACAAACTATAACCTTTATTTCTCCATGCCCAGGCCATTTCTGCCATCAATATTGCCCTCTCATCCATACCCATCCTTCAAAGTCAAAGTTAAATGTTCACTATTCCAAAAAGCTTTGATTGAACATCCCATGTGATATTCATACATGAATGAACATCCCTATGTGATATTCATACACCTCACAAATATTTTTTAGTTCCTACCATAAGTCAGGTACTGTTCTGAATGTTTAAATTAAATAACTCAAGGATAACTATTACTATTTTCATTTTACAGATCAGGAAATCAAAGCACAGAAAGATTAAGAAGCTTGTCCAAGGTTACACAATAAATGATGGAGCTCAATTTGTACCTAAGCTATCTGGCCTTAAGTATCTATCCCAAATTATAAATTTTCACTAAATATATTCTTTAAAAAATTTTTTTAATTTAATTTTTTTTTTTTTTGAGACAGAGTCTTGCCATATCACCCAGGCCAGACTCGAGTATTCCTTGGGCTCAAACCATCCTCCCATCTTGACCTCCCAAGTAGCTGGGACTATAGGCATATACCACAGTGCCTGGCTAAAAATGTTTAAACATGCAATAATCAAGGAGATTATAATTTCCCTTGGGAAAGATTAAAATTGAGAATTGTGTTCCTGACAGATCTCAGCATCAAAATCATGGATATGGCAAACATTAAACTTTCTTTTTTTTTTTTTTTTTTGAGACAGAGTCTTGCTTTGTTGCCCAGGCTAGAGTGAGGCGTGGCGTCAGCCTAGCTCACAGCAACCTCAAACCCCTAGGCTCAAGCGATCCTCCTGCCTCAGCCTCCAGAGCAGCTGGGACTACAGGAGGTGCCAGCACACCCAGCTAATTTTTCAACATTTTTAAGTTGCCCAGCTAATTTTTTTTTTTTTGTAGAGATGGGGGTCTTACTCTTGCTCAAGCTGGTCTCAAACTCCTGACTCTAAGCAATCTCCCACCTCGGCCTCCCAGATTCCTAGGATGACGGCGTGAGCCACTGCACCTGGTCTGAAATTACTTCTTTCTTTGATCAAAATACCCATTCCCAAGTAAATTCAACTTTAATCTTAAGAAATGTATGCTATTTAAAGCATACTTTTATTTTATGTTTTTTTTTTTTTTGAGACAGAGTCTCGCTTTGTTGCCCAGGCGAGAGTGAGTGCCATGGCGTCGGCCTACTTCATAGCAACCTCAAACTCCTGGCTCAAGCAATCCTCCTGCCTCAGCCTCCCAATAGCTGGGACTACAGGCATGTACCACCATGCCCG